CCTGCTCTGTATTTGTGTCGGTGGCTCCCATTTCTGAGATCCTGTGTTTTGGTGTATTCAATTGTATTGCCTTAAAGGTTTGCACAGGTTAGATGAGGGCAGAGAAGTTGGAACATGTAATCCCCCTCTGATCTAAGGGTAGTAGTGATATTCATACCCCTTTCGTCCCATTAGTATGCATAACAAGTGACAGGTGGTGTGACAGGTGACACTTGCTACTACTTATGTTAATGACCCCTTTGTTGTGAGGTGTGATAACATATGATATCACACCCCTTAATTCATCTTTGATGTGAGGTGTGAGGTGTGATATCATGTAGGTGTGATATCACACCCCTTAATTAACCTTTTGATGTGAGGTGTGAGGTGTGATATCATGTAGGTATGATATCACACCTCTAATAAACCTTTGTTGTGAGGTGTGATATCATATGTGACCTGCTCTATCGAAATCAGTCGCATTGACCCGAAGACACATTTTGAGTTGTATACACTGTTGGAAAGAGGAGATTCCTAGCTTTCTAATTATATCAGGATTGTTGTTGTACTCCAAATATTAAACAAAATATGTCACATTATATAATGACTATCACCGAGTCATCATTTTGAGAAAAAGGCCTTCAAAGTTTCCTCTTCTCTGGAATCCATCGATCTGATTGATTATTAGCGGAGCAAATGATCAAAGTAGTACGGAGGGAAAATATTTTCGTTTGGATTACTGGTCTGGGGGAAGCTCGCGAGTGTGTGTGTGTGTATACGTGTGTGTGTTTGTGTATTTTTGCATTTGTGTGTATTGTGTTTGTTTCCCGGGGAAAACACTCACGAGAAACACCGGCTGTTGTTATGCCTGCTGTGACGTCAAGTTACTCCGTTCTCCGCTTGTAATTATGCCGTTACAAGCTTCAAAGTTGTATTTATCATCTGAATTTGCCGAAACAAGTTTAATATTCTGAAAGCCAAGACTTTGTTTATTTTAAATTAGATGAAAACAAACTGTAACGGACCCTGCCGTGTTATCTATGATTACTATATGCTTACTGTACATTCATAATTTCAGCCGGAGGGAGGGGGGCGGCGCTGAGGAAGAGCAGAGTGGCGAGTGAGAGGTGCCATCTTCCCTTTACAAGCTTCAAAAATGTATTTATCGTGTGATTTTGGAAATAAAAGTTTCATATTCTGAAAGCCAAGACTTTGTTTATTTAAAATCAAACAAAACACCCAAACCCCGAAAAACTATTTATTTACACAAATTCACGTTTATTTTTAAATGAGCCGTTGCGACTTTCGACTGATTTCGATAGAGCGGGTCACATATAGATGTGATATGTTTAAGACCCCTAATTAACCTTTGATGTCTGTCCTTTGATGAGTGTCTGATGACAGATATCATATAGATGTGATATGTTTAAGACCCCTAATATTAAACCTTTGATGTCCTTTGATGAGTGTCTGATGACCTGTTGTTTTATTGTCCTCTCTAAATTAGATTAGTTTGAATATGATTTGTGTTAATTAAGGATGTTCTTTTAAGTTGTATGGCTTGTGAACTCATGTTTAATTACTTTATTAACTAAGGAAGCCCATTTGAAGTTGTGTTTCCCTGGATGATGGAAATAGTCTAATACCCCATTCACACCAACGGTGTTTCAGGGCCGGTTCGGAGCTGGAGCTTGAAAAGCACCGGGTTTTCCTGTTCACACCGCAGCGGAGCAGCCTCTAAGCTCCGGAATCCGGTTCGTTTCGAGCACCAAAAAGTTGTCCGTCTAGAAGCAAGAACCGCATACGTCACGCTTACGTTGGAGGGGGGCGAGATTAACCTGAGCTAACAGTTAAGGCGAGTACGGCAAATAAAAGTTGTAACAAGCAGTAGTGCTGAGCAAAGTGACTAGAACGCAACCACACACTTGTAAAAAAAAAACACGCTTTATAAAGTCAGGCAACACTAACCAGGCTTCGTGTGATTCTGTTTATTTGTACCTTACTTTGAGCATCCGTTCGCTGTTATTGATCATTGTGGAGAGCAGGCAGACGTTTTGTTTGTTATTATAGCAGCTATCGGATGGAATCAATACATGGGCTGCACAGGTTGTCATGTCCGACTATCACAAGTAGAATCATAATGAAAAATACGCCGGTAAAAAGTGCCTGTAGAAAACGGCTTAGCAAGTAGTCAGTTTAGCTTCGGTTGCTATGCTAACATCACCCATGTTATACCAGAGAAACTTTCATAACAGCGTTGTGATGCCAAACAGCGTCAATTCAGACTGACACACATTCACTTAAGGGGAACTGGGGATATGTATCAGCTGCTTGTGTGACAGTCAGACAGTGAATACTTTAGAGCCATGTGAGCTAACCCGGAGCTAACGGGAGAATACACTCCCGTGGAGCAGCCAGCACTGCAGCGGTCGGTAAATGCCGCTGAAACACATTAATAAACAATGAACCACGGCACTCTGGAAAAAAGTATAAGGTTGGAGAAGTCGTTATTTAATTTAATCTGACTTCGTATGATTAAAAGCAACACGATCATCGACCCGACGCAGTCCCCCCCCCGTTGTTGTTGTAGTTAGCGCCGTTGGGGAGAAAATCAGCGACGTAAACTGTGACGTCATGACGCAGCAGCGGCAGCACAAGTCGGGCTCTGAGCGGTGTGAACAGAGCGGGAGCTGAACCGAAGAACCGGTTCTGAACCAGAAAAGCTCTAGCACGGAGCTAGAACGGGAAAAGCCTTGGTGTGAAAGGGGTATGTGTGCCATGTTAGGGGGACATTACGGAGCTCATGAGTCCGCCCTTTGAGGCTCTTGGAGCGGACATAGAGAGGTGTATTTACTTGTGTGTTTCCCTGGATGATGGAAATAGTCTACGTGCCATGTTAGGGGGACATGACGGAGCTCAGGAGTCCGCCCTTTGAGGCTTGAAGAGCGGACAAAGAGAGGTGTATTTACTGGTGTTGATCCCTGGATGATGTAAATAGTCTAAGTGCCATGTTAGGGGGACATCACGGAGCTCAGGAGTCCGCCCTTTGAGGCTTGAAGAGCGGACAAAGAGAGGTCTATTTACTGGTGTTGATCCCTGGATGATGTAAATAGTGCCATGTTACATTACGGAGCTCATGAGTCCGCAATTTGAGGCTTTGTTAACATTAATGCTTTTTGCTTTGTTTGTGTTACTAAGATACTTTTAGATACACTTTGAAGTGTGCAACACTTTACAACTGGTAGAATATTAAGTACTTTGTAAGGAATTGGGTTTCTCTAAAAGGCAAGTTTTGTGATTTTAACACTTTTTTTACTGACACTCGGCAGATTTGTGTGTAATTCTTTCACAAAGGAACTGTAAGATACACTTTTATGTATCCAAAACCTTAAAAACTAGAAAATAAAATACTTTGTCTGAATAGATTTTCTTTGAAGGCACTTTGATTTTAACGCTATTTCAGTGGAACAATCCAGTTTTGTTAACATCAATGCTTTTTTCTCCTTCCTTGTGTTACTAAGATACTTTTAGATACACTTTGATGTATGCAACACTTTACAACTGGTAGAATATGTAGTAAAAGCAGGACAAAAAAGCATTAATGTTAACAAAGCCTCAAAGTGCGGACTCATGAGCTCCGTAATGTCCCCCTAACATGGCACTTAGACTATTTACATCATCCAGGGATCAACACCAGTAAATAGACCTCTCTTTGTCCGCTCTTCAAGCCTCAAAGGGAGGACTCCTGAGCTCCGTGATGTCCCCCTAACATGGCACTTAGACTATTTACATCATCCAGGGATCAACACCAGTAAATACACCTCTCTTTGTCCGCTCTTCAAGCCTAAAAGGGCGGACTCCTGTGATATCACACCTACATGATATCACACCTCACACCTCACATCAAAGGTTAATTAAGGGGTGTGATATCACACCTATATGTTTTCACACCTCACAACAAAGGGGTCATTAACATAAGTAGTAGCAAGTGTCACCTGTCACACCACCTGTCACTTTTTATGCATACTAATGAGACGAAAGGGGTATGAATATCACTACTAAGGGTTGAGGCTTGAATCATCCAACAGCAGTAATGGTGAGGACTGAGATGCAGCCACGAGTGGACAGCAAAATTATTTCTACAATCTGTCTGCAAATCACAGTAAAGACACACTTTAGCCACAGCGGGAGTCTGCCAAAGCGGGAGGGAGATAAATCTAAAGAGCGCAAACGGAATCGACCCCCATTCCCAGGAGTAATGGAGCTGTCACAGGCTTAGACTGACCCCACAGTCACCCCAGGGGGGCAATGATATGGCACCCATCCATTCACACCAGGAAGCCGGCAGCAAAGTGAGGAGGGGGGGCCAACACATCATGATGATAGCAGTCATCCTCACTGGAATGAGGAAAAATAGAGGTCATTGTGCCAGTGGAATCTCACGGGAGAAGCGTGAAAAAATGTGTGTGTGTGTGTGTGTGTGTGTGTGTGTGTGTGTGTGTGTGTGTGTGTGTGTGTGTGTGTGTGTGTGCGTGCGTGCGTGCGTGCGTGTGTGTGTGTGTGTGTGTGTGTGTGTATGTGTGTGTGTGTGTGTGTGTAAGTTTGTGTGTGTAAGTTTATGTGTGTAGGTGTGTGTACAGTGAGAGACCCTGCAGAGAGCATGACAGTGACAGAGAAGGAGGACTGACACTCATGGTAGGAAGTAATTATTGATGCCTGGTTGGAGAAGATGAAACCTGCCTCCATGAAATATATTGGAAAATCGGTCATCCTATGTATACGCATGAAAACAAATTAAATTATGATGGAAACAGAAGAAGGGCCACATTTTAGTTTGACTTATAGTGACATATCATTATGTAGGTTCTATTTACTGCCTGTTTTGGGATCACACGCATTTCCAAGACGCAATGAAACGTACCCTACGGCATCAAGCGTAATGCACGGCGAGGCAATCTTGCATCCAATCTAGAGACTCAGCTCCAGTAGCCTGTGTGGTCTCTGGAGGGGGGAGACATGCCTCCTCGCTCTGCCTCTCGCCGCTCTCCATCCATGGCGCATCTCCAGCTCTGAATCCACCTCGGCTCTGGACACACACCGGCGTCAGCGCTCGATCCACTCACTGACAAACACACACACACTTTGACAAATGCAGCGCAGAGGACTGGACCGGCCGAAGACATCCTGCTGTATCTGATCGAGTGCGTTCATGGTAAACCGAGCTTATTTTTTCTCATCTGCTGTTGCATTTTACGCGCTTCGAGCCGCAGCCGAACTGTTATCTAACAAACAAGAGGCTGTAATCTGAGAGTAGTGTTTATGTGAGGCGTAAAATCAGTAAATATAGCAATTTCTTCTCCACACAGCGACTTAAAAGTAGGTCTGATGTAGTAAATGGTGAGTTTAAAGTGACCTGCACTCACTTTATCGGCTATAATACTCCATATCATTGATATCTGTTTAATTGTATCTATCTAACATGTATTTAAATACTAGTTTATGTTTTTCAAGTGATATCAAGCTGCAAGGGATTCCAAAACTAACAATATTACTTCTTTAACATGCAAGTGTATGCTCATAACTGTTAAAGCCTTTAGGAGTCATACTGTGTAGATGTAGTGACAGGATAAAATCAAAAGTTCCAGGTCTACTAATTCTAATCCATCCATTTCATCCTGGCTGTTAATTGATTCCATCATAATTCAACTTTACCTTATTTTCTAGGTTCTTCACTTACAGTTAAATAACCCCCTTTTTCTATCTGCTGTTTGTGAATGACAAGATTATTGTGTGTGTGTGTGTGTGTGTGTGTGTGTGTGTGTGTGTGTGTGTGTGTGTGTGTGTGTGTGTGTGTGTGTGTGTGTGTGTGTGTGTGTGTCGGTGTGTCGGTGTGTCGGTGTGTGTGCTGGGGGAATCATGTAGAACAAGATTCATCTTCTCCCCGATCACAGCGCTCCTCTGTAGCCCGGGGTCAGATGCAGCTCCGCACAGCAGCAGCTCTGCTCTCCGCCTGTGGCACTCTCGCATATTCATATTTGTGTGTGTGAGGTGGTTTAGAGAGAGAACGAGAAGGGGAAAAGATGGATGAGTGACTGAGGACTTGAAGCTCCTCCTGGCGTTGCTACTGTTGCTCAACTCTCTGTGCTTCCCAGGATTGATCATCAGGCTTTGCCAATAAACCGCCTCACTCAGAGGATCTGTGAACACACTAAGGTGCCTTAATAGAAAAATATTTGGCACTGTCACATCCCTCAATCACTTGCATCCCAAATCCCTCAGTCCCACCCTCATCACTAACTTCTAACCTCATTTGTTGCCTTTATTTTCCACAGAGGCAATTGCCTTCCCCGCACCATGCCCAAATGTCATTACCTCCAACACTTTTGCTGCTAGCTATGTTATCTCAGCAGCAGTGACGCCAAAATGTACAACTCAACCTGCCAGAGGAGGCGTGCACCGCACAGTGTAATCTTTGGTTGATCTTGTCCCCGAGGCTTTTATCCTCTGAACACTTTTATTGTTTGAGGAAAACAAAAGCTGGGGCCATCTGAAGCCTGAGTTCCCTTTCCAGATGTTCTCAGGGTGTCTTTTATTCCTGGTGTGAGTGCCGATGGGGGAATTATATGCCAGGGAGAAAGGAGGACTTGCAAATCAAATTGCTTTAATCCATTGAAGCATCTGTCCTCAGTCTCCAGAGGGCAGCAGGGTGTGCGAGGAGGCACTGAGCCCTGATCATGACTGGAAAGGAAAACAAAACCTGTCGCTGAGGAATCATCTGTTGTGCCTCAGTCAGCCAGCTGTGCAGATCACATAGGGTTTGGATGGCAGGACTTTCAAATTGACAGATTTTCACCATCTTTTCCTAAAGTATCAGAGATAGTAAGAAGCTTGGTCCAAGTTTTACATTATCAGCAGTCATTTGATCTTCTGTTTCTCTGTTTATCATACATCTTCTCTGTCCTTCAAGTGAGCGCACAAATAGACTGAGCAGCTTTAAATGTATTCTGAAACAAGAGACAAACAGCACAATGTCCCTGTCATCCTGTCTTCAACTAACAAAGTTTCTCCCCCTGATGGGTTCATTCTGCGATTGCTGTTTTTAGCAGTACTCAAACAGAATGGCTCATGATGTAGATTTATTTTCCCCTCACCCACAGAGTAAATGTCTTTGGTTTTGCGTTGTTTGTGATTAATGGAACATCAAAAGCTGATCTGAGCTCAGTGTGATACATTCCTGAGGACATGAGTCTGCCAGGGACACATAAACATCATTAATGAACAAGAGGCAGACTGGAGAGCGACAGAGTGACAGAGAGAGGGTGAGAGGACGCAAACAGGAAGGCAATATTTCGTCAGTAATATGATATATATTTACCTGTGGTTTTGATGATGATTGCCTCAGTGAGTGATGGAGACACATTTGGCGCCCACGGATCTGGTGTGATTACCTATCATCAGTTTGGTGCAGAGGGACAAATGAATGGCAGTACACTTTTTTTTTAAATCCATTTGGAAAATCACATCTCCCTTTGCTCTTTCATACCCAGTGGCAAACAACTTGTAAGTGTACAAAGGAAACTTCTCCACTCATCTAAGTGAAGACAGCTATATTTATCTGGGTTTGTAGCTCTCTGCTGGGCTTAGAGGCTTAATTACCCAGAAGAGAGGAAAGCAAAAACTGAAATGCAATTATGCAACTGTGTGCAGAGTATTTTGAATAGTGGAGTTATTTTAGATTTAGGGACACCATTTTCCAGTAGAGGTCTGACCTTTGGGTCATGTTTTTGCTGAACAAATCTATGGAGCCTTTAGGAAATAAATTCTGTACCTGTTTATTCAAAGCGTTTAAGCTACTTATGTTAAAAATGCTCAAATCAGTTTGCTCTGCTTGGAGAAAGAGAGCTAAACCATTCCTCAAATCTGCACATTTTAGGAAACACAAGCACATGTGCTATCAAGGACCAATTTGGTCAATTATCTTTTTTTCACCTCCCTAACTATTATGAAGCTACAACCAGCAACAGGTTACTTAGCTTGACAAAAAAGGTCAAAGATTACTTTTTGTTTCACACGGGACACATTCTGCCTAGAAATGTATTTGGGATTTACAAAAAAACAAATGTAGTCCAGGAGCAATACATTTCCCTCAAAACCTAATTGACAATGCATTTTCATGGAATTTAAATGTAATTTTTAGGAGACCAAGCTAGTCAGGTTAGACAGTTTATTTAAACATTCAAATAGACAACCAAAAAAACACAAATTGTCATGGTTGTTTTTGTATCGTTAAAATAAATGTCATTTGAGTGAATTTAACAGAGCAACAGAGCAAAGCTAACTGTTTTGGCGTGTTTAAGGTCCTTACGCTAAATTTAGCTAACTGGCAGCTAGCTGTAATTTTATATTTATGGTACAGACTTGCGAGGATTATCAATCTTTTCATTTAACTCTCAGTAAGAAAGAATATTTCAAAAAATATTGACCTATTCCTATATTTGCTCTAATGATTGTTTTTGCCAAAGAAAAAACCCTGTTACACATGCTGTTTATTTTTACCATAAGTAGCTTAAACGCTTTGAATAAATAAGTACAGGATTTATTTCCTAAAGGCTCAATAGATTTGTTATCAAAAACATGACCCAAAGGACAGACCTCTACTTGAAAATGGTGTCCCTAAATCTAAAATAACTCCACTATTCAAAATACTCTGCACACAGTTGCATAATTGCATTTCAGTTTTTTTGCCAGGTAAGGACAAACTTAACTGGCAAGGGAAATCTGGATGAATGTGACTTACTTTACCTTCTACTGTCTAAGTGCCCTTTAGCAATAATCCTAATAGCTGTTCATTGGCTATCAGTAGAGGACTGCAGGCTAGAAGGAGTGGGAGCTGCATGCATGTATGAAGCTGAGAAAATGCATCAAGGTGAAATCTCATTGTGTGTGTCTCTGTGCCTCCCTGCGCGGCATCAGCGTGAAGGATGTAGAGCCAGAGGGAGGGGCAGGATGGAGTGCTCCTGGAAGACGGTGCTGCTGCTGGTGTGTGCGTCTCTGGGGGTCCAGTACACGGCCATCCGCACCCTGAGGGACTCGCTGTCCGGGCCCTGTCAGGGACCCTACCGCTGCCAGAGCAGGCACTTCAGAGGTACGCCGCCACATTCAACAGGGTCAAACATACCTCACTACAGGAGAGCATGACGTGTGTGGCTGTATGGTGTATGCTAAAATATTATTTTGTAAAAATTACATAAATATTATAATTGTTAGACATTTCGGCTGTGAGCAGAGGTGGGATAAGTACTCAGATATTGTACTTGAGTAAAAGTAGAAGTGCCAGAGTGTAGGAATACTCTGTTACAAATAAAAGTCCTGCATTCAAAACTTACTCAAGTAAAAGTACTAAAGTATTAGCATGGGGTGCAGTGGGTTGTGCAGGTTGTGCGTAGATCATCAGATCAAGGGGGCGTTGGGGAACTCCAGTTCGAAACCCACCTCCGCCGCCACTGCGTCAGGCTGTTGTGTCCTTGGGCAAGACACTTCACCCAAATTTGCTCCTGTGGGTATTGTCCACAGTACATGACCGTTACATGTATGATATGTGTGTAATGTGTATTTGTAAATCGCTTTGAGCATCTGGAAAAGCGCTATAATAAATGTAAGGAATTATTAATTATTATTATTATTAAAATATACTTAAAGTATCAAAAGTAAAAGTACTCTGCAGTTGCAGATTGGCAGATTTCAGAATAATATATATTATATGTTTCTTTTGATTATAATTATAGATGCATTAAAGTGTTATCAAAGCTGGGTGCAGCTAGTTTTAATTACTTTGTATACTGCAGCGTAGCTTGTGAATATTCTCCAGGTAAAGTCTTTTTTAAGTGTCGATTATATTTCACATCATTAAACCAAATCTGTCAAGTAACTAAAGGTACAAAGTAAATGTAGTGTAGTAAAAGTACACAATTTACCTCTGAATTGTAGTGATGTAGAAGTACAAAGTAGCATAAAATTGAAATACTCAAGTATTACTCAGTATCTCTAAATTGTACTTAAGTACAGTACTTGAGTAAATCTACTTAGCTACTTCCCACCTCTGCCTGTGAGGCACCTGCAGAGGTCATGCACAAACACACATTTGATTACTAACATCATTTTAGAAGAAAACCTGATGCATAGAGGATCCGTGCCAGCATTACAGCTAAAGCTAAAGAAAAAGCGGTTCATTTAATGAGGGAATTCCCAACAAGTGGGGAGGATAAAGAAATGAAATATGTGTGATTCGTTTTACAATTATCCTCCAATTTATCTCCATTAATCCCGTCTCATAGCGCCGCTGTAGTTTGCCAGCGCCAAGCTCCTGTGTACGAAAGAAACATCCCCTTTGCAATCAACTCCTCATCAGCAGTAATTACACGTTAGCTATTTGCGCTATATTTAGAGATCCGCCATTTCATAAACCCCCTCGGTAACCACCGGCAGACAAGCAACTTACTCAGGCATGTTTACCCTCTAAATTATTTAAGCTTTATTGGCTTGATTCAGTAGTTCACTTTCTCCTGGACTAGAGCTATGACGGAAACTCATTATTTTTCACTTTTATGAGCTGAAGTAACTCTTCCAAAATAAGTAAGGTAAAGCCTATTAGTTACGCTTTTTATGAATGCCACTTCTATAGCATGCTATGCATCATGAATACGCTCATAAACACTATCAGTCAACCTATAACTAGTCAAGAATATTCATAAAACAGTTATATTATATAAGATGAGTCACATGTTTTGTTGAAATTGTGCATCAGAAGCAATATGATTGTTAACAAGTACAGTGATAAAGTACCAGAGTACCATAAATGCACGATAATCCACTAAAAATGCCCTAATGATACACTATAGAAGTGTATTTCATAGAAAATGTTACCCCTCTCTTTCACCAGAACTTGAATCTATGAATCTAAGAGAAAAACATGTGGTTTAGTATGTGATTTAGAGTTGTTATTGACCTCTTTGTAAGAAAAAACATGATGCAATTGATGTCAGTGTAGCAAACATTGAGTTGAACATGTACAGCACATTTATTTGTTGTTTCTTTCTTCCAGACTCCAGGTGGAGAGCCTTGTGCGATGACAGCTGGATGCCTGTTGATTCGCCTCGGAAGCACATCCTGCTGTTCGCCACCACCCGCAGCGGCTCCTCCTTCACCGGGCAGCTCCTCAATCAGCACCCAGGGATCTTCTACGTCTTTGAACCTCTGTACCACGTCCAGCAGGCCTTCACCAACTCCAGCAGCAGGCTGCGTCGCACCCTGGACCGCCGATCCCTCCTGGGAGCATACAGGGATCTCCTCCTCAACCTGTACACCTGCGATCTTCACTTCATGGAGAATTACATCCGCCCGGAGCCCCAGGACCATGTCACCAGCTCCTTCTTTCGCAGAAGCTCCAGCCATGCCCTCTGCTCCCCTCCCGTGTGCATGGAAACAGGGGATGTAGCAGTTTCGGATTCCCCGGATGAAGCCTGGTGTCCAAAGAAGTGTGGGGCCCTGAACCTCACCCTTGCCTCTATGTCGTGTCTTTCAAAGGAACATGTAGCCATAAAGACTGTGCGGGTCCCGGAGGTGGGGGACCTGCGCACCCTGACAGAAGATCCTCGTTTAGACCTGAAGATCATCCACCTGGTGAGAGACCCTAGAGCTATTCTCGCGTCGCGCATGATGGCGTTCTCTGATCAATTCCGCGCTTGGAAAATATGGAACGCAACGGGACGGCAGCCTCGGTACGTGGACCTGACGCAGATCACCAGCACCTGCAAAGACATGGCGGCCTCCGCGGCAACAGGCCTGCAAACACCGGCATGGCTGCGGGGACGCTACCTGCTGGTGCGCTATGAGGACCTGGCCTTCAATCCGAAGGACAAAGCCACTGAGATCTACAGGTTTGTGGGGCTGGAGATGGATGACAGGGTGCGGTTGTGGATTGCAAAGAACACAAACAGTAACGTGTCGTCTCCGTCAGAGTGGAACTACAGGTACTCAACCACCAGAGACTCCAGAGCGACAGCGGAGAGCTGGAGGCTTCGTCTGGGCTTTGACATCGTCCGGACTTTGCAGAATCTGTGCAACGACACTCTGGCGCTGCTGGGATACAAGCAGGTTCACTCTGCAGCCGATCTCAGAAACCTGTCTCACAGTTTAGTGGAACACAGGATTTTTCAACCAGTCACGTGGTAGATTGATTGGTTGGTTGGTTGGTTGGTTGGTTGGTTGGTTGGTTGGTTGGTTGGTGTGTTGGTTTGTTTGTTTGTTTGTTTGTTTGTTTGTTTGTTTGTTTGTTTGTTTATTTATTTATTTATTTATTTCAGCTGACTTTCCTCTGTCTCTATGCTGAAGACATGAATGTAATCTATCTTATTTTACCATAAAGTAATTCAACATGACTTTTTATGGTTTTGTTAAATATATAAGTGCCAAATGTCAAGCGAGTGCGATGCTGCGAAAGGTATTATCCAGAATATGGTCTGTACTGCTGTGTTGATGGGACATGTGTTCATGATACCATGTTCTCATTATATCATTGTTCAAGGGAATGCTTCACTCACAAAAACACCATTTGTGTATCAATTAGTCACAAATGCTAGATTGAATTTATGAAGAAAACGTTCTCTCCCCGCCTTGAATGTGAACAAAGAATAAAAAAAATGAAGACAATTGGGTCTAACAACAGCAAAACTATATATCAAATAATTCATTTAAAACTCTGAGCCGAATGCTAATGCTGGAATTAAAGGTAACATGGGGAGAGTATATACTAAAGGTAGTTTTGAGCTTGAAGTATTACTTTTAACGTGATAAATAAGATACTTGAAAGAGCCTAGGTACCATTTCAGAGTGAAGTAAGTGATGTTCCTGAAGGTGAGAAAATGATAGGGCTTGCATTCCAAGTGTCTCTAATGCATTTCGGGAAAATATTAAAATGTCACGTCTTTGGTAGAAAACCTTCTGCAGTGCACAGCAGGTCTAATTTCTATGTTGAGACGTTGAGACCATGACAACATTTGTTTTCTTGTAAATACTGATAAACTGTTGCAATGCAAGTGTGCAAATGTTATGATGTGTTTGAACAGTTTTGTCAGTGTTACTATACTGTTTATATTTTCTAGCCTTTATAAAATAAATTATTCATAAGTAATACATATGAAATCTTCTTGAAACCACATTTCTTTGATGTGTTCTTTTTAATTTCTTCAATCCTGAGAAGAAAGTGCTTGAGTGTTAGTGCTGAAAACAGACACACTGCAAATTCATTGTCTTTTATCTTGTAATCCATCTGTATTTGGTTTGTTCTTTTGCCAAATGTCCATCCTGCAGATGTGTCTGTAGTACCGGATGTACCACACTGTGTTTTATTCTGGGTTAACTTTGAACCTAAAAATATTAATACCAGGACCTTTGAGATGTACTGCTGTGAAGTACAGTCAGATATCAAACAGCTGCAGGTTCTCTGCCAGTCCCTCCATTTGAAACTGGTCTTTGTGTCTAAACACAAAAAGGAAGCTTGCCATCTCCAGACACCAGCCCATGTATTTCCATGTAAAGCTGCTCTCTTGAGATAAATGCTGGAGGGAGTCTTTGAGGAGGAACTCATGGCATGAATCATGGAGGAACCATTGATTGACCGTGATTTTCTTGCCTTTCAAATGCTAACATTGCATCTTCCTATGGAGGCTGCAATTGAAGCCCGCTGGGAGCTTTGAGCTTTAATGCTTATTCCGCTGCAGAAAGCCACTCCAGAGTGAAGGAAAGTATGCAATTTGAGTGGAACGGTCATGCTGCTCTGTGAGCACTATTAAATCTGAGGTGAAATTGTCCCTTTAATAACGCCATAATAATGTATTTTTAGACACACAGTCCTCCCCATCTTTTCTGTAGCAGCCCTATAGCTGCTGACACCAGGGATATCTCAGCGCACCAAAGAATTGATCCATACATCCAGCTGAGGAGAAACAGGATTTAAGATGCATGGAGAAAAGATTGGCCGTCTTTCTTTGAACTTAATCTGCAAGGCTACACAAACTGGCCATAAAGCAAAGCTTTATGACACCCGGGGAGATGTGCTTCATCGGTTTTTCCATCCCCAATCTGACACACAAAGCAGCAAGTGGCCTGAGTCAGCCGTCAGCTAATTACCCATTTCTTTGCACTCAATACCGGCAACCTCTTTCTGTCTGCTTAACTGTGCTGACAAATTTAGGTCTTATCAATATGAGTAACAAATATAAGGTGCATGCAATGGGTCATTTTAAACGGCCACTGTTAATCTACAGCCATGGTGCCTGGCCAGATACATTTAAGTACTTCTTTATTGATTAATTTAAACCAACATCCATTACATTTAAAGTAGCTTCCTAATTCACCTTTTGTACATTATCTTAGCTAACTCCTGAGACTTCTACTCCTGCTTTCTAACTATGTTCCCACTCAGAATGAACGTATGCAGCTGAATCAATATGTGCATAATATTTTTATTCAAATCACAATGTCTTTTTTTATCAAGTTAGCTGAGCTATCCACACTCATGCATTCTCATCTACAGTGTGAACAAAATTGAGATTTTCTTTCAGGGTATAACATTGATCATACTATTATAACAACTAACATTGAGTTAATTAGACTCAGACACATCATTTGTCACAAATTATTCCTTTGCAACATGGTGCCCAAAAAGTTAACCTGCAATTAAAATGTTCGAACAGCTGGGGCCACAGATGCACTATGTTTAACAACTGCAGGTCACAGGACTCTAGGAGCACAGTATGAACCCGCCTCCACAACAAGGTTTTGAACACCCTCTTGACCTTCCAGCTCCCCCGTGTCAGTCGGAAAAAGCTCAATCACGTAAATCCAGGCCTTCTGCTCCACCCTGACGCCTGCCTGTAATCACCGGCTTTAACCATTTGCCCCTATAATGAGATGTGTGAGCGAAGAGGCTGCGCCGCTGTCCTTGGAGCCGCTCCTCCAGCTGCAGGTGTGCCATCCAGGTTCATTACCGTTGATTCTTTATGGTCCTTATCTGGGGGAACAGCCAGAAAATGATCAGCTCTCTCGCTGTCACATCACCGCATGCTTTGATCAAAATCAATGTCATCCTGTGTGAACGTGAGCATACATAAACATGTGTGTACCTGTATGTTCATAACATAGACTGTATATATAAAGGGTCATAATGGAGATATGGAATATGACAAAGGTGACACGCGGCAGCAAAGAGGCTTCACAAATTGCCCTCTTTATGGGAAAATATTGATTTAATCATACTGATGAAGAACACAAAGCATATTGACAATCCAGATGAAATACTTGTGAAAAGTGCCGTCGATGACCGGAGAAAAACACCTGCATCAGACATATAATAGCACTTAAAGATAGTGTTAGTGCAATTAATGGCTCACCAACTTTAAATGTTAACACAGAGAGAGAGATCAATAAAACACAAACACAGATATGGTTGAGATTAATTATTATTCAGTTGCGCAACAACAATAATAATGGATCACCTTGCTTCAACAGCAACCAATCGCGGAAATGCCCCGAAGAGTACAAGTTTCCATACAGCATATATACGTTTTGCAAATGAACGCACACTCATTTTCCCTCTAAACGGTCACTATCTCATGACCTCTTTAGGAGTAATTCATACCCTGTCAGGATATTAACTAACAAGACTTACTGCATTTTAATCTAATCAGGGCCTCTTTGCTCTTCAGCTGACCTTGGTCAATTTACTTAGCGTGAATACATCTGGTAATAATTGCGGAAGAGACGATGGGCCTCTTTGCTCTGGAAACTTAACTCAATAACATACCTAGTTATGACTAGGTCCAAGACTGATATAACAATAGCCTTTCACACAAACATTATCATTTTCCATGTCACTTAAGAGCTGAGAGCTACTGTAATGCTGTGATGTCCACAAGATAAGGATGTGCTGTGTATCATATCTGAATGTTTTATATTAGGGAGGCGTGTGGCGCAGTGCGTTGTACGTTGGTGTTCGGCTCAGGGGGTCACAGGTTCAAACCCCACTGCAGTCAGCATGTCGTTGTGTCCCTGGGCAAGACACTTCACCCCAAATTGCTCCTGTGGTGATTGTCCACAGTATTGAGTATGTAAGTCGCTTTGGATAAAAGCGTCTAACATGTAATATTAAAAAAAATGAAAATACACAGAGGTCTCTTGACATTAAAGCTCAGCAGCTTTTTCTCTATTGACACAACCATTGAAATCCCAGTTGCACTGGCACCAACAGTTTGAATTTGTCACCTTCCTTACTGGGAGCCAGAGACGTCATTTACGGAGAGATTAAGGAGCATTTAAAACAGAATGAAACCACTTTGAGCCACAGTATCTTTATTACTGGAGCCACACGGGCCCTGAGCTCACATCAGCCTCTGTCACACCCATCATTCAAATGCTGTTATTTCCCCCCATGCGCCCACTACACGCACACACACACACACACACACACACACACACACACACACACACACACACACACACACACACACACACACACACACACACATACACACAGCCCTCCATATGCACCCAGCTCTTCAGCGGACATCTTTCTCTCGCTCTCGCTCGCTCTCTCTCTCTCTCTCTCTCTCTCTCTCTCTCTCTCTCTCTCTCTCTCTCTCATCTCTCTCTCTCTTCTCATCTTCTCTCCCTCTCTCTCTCTCTCTGAGCACCTGTTTACAAAAATATTCCTCATGTCTGTGATATATTTTGTAGCGGACTCTTTTGTAAAAGTTGCATTTTTATGACATCTCTCCACAGCATTTGTTTCTGACAGAGCTGGTGTTATGGTTGCCAGATTTGGCCCAGGATGGTCACAATCTCACCAAAATCACACTGATGTTAGTTATACTCCTTTAGTTTAAACAAACAGAAGCATTTTACTCTGGATTCACGGTGTTTAAAATAACAGGAGTGCTTCTACATCTGGCAGAGCTAGTGTAATGGCTGCAGGACTTGGCACCCCCTCTATCTTTGGATCCGGATTTACTCTGTGCCTATCAGGTGAAAAACTAAAGGAGTGATTCTAAATATGACAGAGCTGGTGTTATGGCTGCCAGTATATTGCAAAGTCTCAATCGGTGGGACACAGGACAAATGATAAATATGCTGTGCAGTCCCTCACAAAGCAGGACGGCTGGTCAGCCTAACCAGAGGTACTGCTAGATTTGCAACACGTCATTTTCAACGTATCACCCTCCATGCAAAAAGTAATGTCT